CATGCTCCTTTTCAGTCCCGGAATATGATCAATGTCCCGAAAGGACGCTATGACACCTGTTGGTGATGCCAACACCGATAGACAGTGCGAATGTCGGTTCTACTTTTTGAGTCAAGGAATTTAATCTTTGACCCGACCTCAGGTATTAGAGGAAATGGAATACGAGTGATTTAAAATAAATGTAAAGACAGGATCTTCATTTGTAATATAAACTTACATTTATTAAAAGAAAAAAAAATATTATCAAGTTCATATAAAACTTATATATATATATATATACTTATATGTGTGTGTGCGTGTGTGCGTGCGTGCGTGTGCGTGTGTGCGCGTGCGTCGCGATTTACATAAGTACGGACCTAGATTTAAATACAGAAAAATTTGTAACTATAAGTGTGGATGTGTAACACAGAGGGTGAATAGGAGAAGAAGAAAGTAAGGTTATTGAGAATTGGAGGCGAGGAAGGTAAGAGGAGTACATTGGGATGAGGTGCTTATAAAGAACAGTGTAAGGAGTGGGATTTCTTATATGTATAATATAGATAATCATTAATCTATCCCCTTTATTGGAGGGGGAAGAATAATAATACAGTAAAGAGTCGTCGATTACATATAGTTGATTGGTACGGGATCTGTTTATGGAAAAGCTGATTTAAAAGAGGAGGGAGAAGGAGTCGCTCTTCGAAAGGAGGAGGGAGAGGGAATAATTCTTCGAGAGGAGGAGGGGAATAATTAAGGACCTCCTGGATAATGGGATCGATGACAGGAGAAATGGTCTATAGGTTGTGATTGTTCTGAGACTGAGTACCATATTTCTAAGTAATTATCATCGATCGATTGTGGCGGCATGCTTCGGCCAGGTGAACGGCTCCGCTTACTTCTTCTGACATAAGGGGTTCATCTTCGTTTTTTTGGAAATACGAACGCGCACTATAATCGAACCGAAGGGTTAAATATATGTATGGATCCGTTACATTAATTATGTATGAGTATGTATATATATATATATATACATACATACATATATTTATGTGTGTATACTCATATGAGAAGATGTGGATAGGTGGCTGGAGTGACAGGCTAACTTACTGTTTAGCTGCGCGGGATTATTTGGTCCACAAATTCTAGGATGGATGTTGAGGAGGGTAGTCCAATGAGTCAAGACTGGATGATGGTCTTAGAGAATACACGGCGTAATTGAACACTGAGATGCGCGACGAGCTAAGGCTCTAATTTGCACTGACGCGAATTAAAACTTTTTTGTGTACTAATGTGAACCAAGTTAGCTTGATTTTAGAACTAACACTTTGCGCTTCAACGGGACCTCTATTTATACTCCGAAAAAAGGGCGTAGTCTTTTGTCTAGAATGCAATAGTTAATTGCATTGTCACGCGAAATTTATGATTTTTATAACGTTCTATCGTTGTTATTCTAAAATGCATCGCTAGAGGGGTTTCGAGAAGAAAAGAAATTTGATTTACATTTTTCTTTAAAGAGGCAAGATTGCTCCAAATGAATGACGAAATCTATTATCCTCGCGAAAAATATGGCTAGGTAAACAGATGGTTATCGTGCACAACTAATTTTGCGTACAGGGCAATCACGAGTCTGATCTTAGATAACGTGGAAAATTATCCCAAGCGTTTTATAATTTTTTAAGCGCGATGTGATGCCTGTTTTCTTAAAATAAAATTATTGGTCAATCTGGGATGACAAAGCTTGGATTTTTACTTGGATTGCGTGACTTAGGTGCATTTATAATGTCTTTCGCAATCTTGTCGAATCTACATTAAAGTTGTTATTCCTTCCGGATTGATTGGCGTTTACGAGTTTTCGCGGAACTTATCCGATCCTTCTTTTCAGTTCTGTCAGAGGACTCTATTCGAATTTCATAGACGCCAACCGTAGCATTATGGAGCCGACTCTTTCGAAAGAAAAGAATCGTGGCGTCTAAGACGATACAGGACATAACGAGAGTATTAAAATATTTATTAATTTATTTATTAATTTATTTATTTTTTCTACAGAGACAGTTTATAAAATAAGCAATCAATCCAAATTTTTCGCGTTTATTTCTATTTCTTTCTAAATTGAATGTAATTGATTCTCTTTCTGTTTCCAAGTATTACGATTGAATCTTATCTATCTCAAAAATTTGAATGTTTCATAAAGCTTCAAACATTTTTCTGATGCTTAGTAAGAAAATCTATAAATCATATTGAATTTAAAAAATGTAAATATTCTAGAACAAGGTATTTGCAATGAAGCATTCACGACTTAAAAATATAACAATAATTGTCGAATACTCTTGGAAAGAAATAAACGCGGAAAATTTGGATTTATTGCTTATTTTATATAAACTATCCCAACTCTGTGGAAAAAAAGGAAATAAATTAAATGAATATTTTAATACTCTATTCTTTTTCATCTTGTTTGTCTCTTCATATTTTCAATTATTTGTGTGATTTTATTTAATTCTAATTTTATGTCATAATATATTTAACATTTATGTTTAAAAGATATTTATTACATATTTATTACATACGCGTATGCATATCACAAAAAAGTTACCCAGAAGAATCTCTAAATTGACAGATTTACTACTTAAACGATGTTACCAATCTATAGAAAATTAAATTGCAATGCCTAGAGGTTTTCGTTGCTACAACATTATTTCCTCTTTTTTTACAGAAATTGTAATGTAATTATGCAATTGTCTCGAGAGATTCGTAGATATGAAAATGAATCCTTATACATGAATACTATTGTTACGTCCTGAACGCTACAATTCTTTTCTTTCGAAAGAATCGGTTTTACGTCACGACTATTGATAGTCCAGTAGAATTAGACTCAAAAAGAATCGTTTCGCAAAAATTATAAATTGATATTTCTCTGCATGAAAATGTTCAGAAGGCTATCAGAAAAGAAATATATATGTTTGAGATTTGCAACTCGTGTGGGAAATATGCGAAAAAAATTCGAATAGTTGCAAAAAGCAAGTTTTTCGCTTATAAAACGAAAGATATCAATTATGTATGCAAAAAAGTTCAGTATAAAAAATGTAAGTATTCAAAATACCTACAAAGTGAGATGTGGAACATTAAGATCGGTCTATTAGTTAAATAGGAAAAAAATAAAAATCACCAAAAAGGCTTTTTTTCATTCGCTCTCTGTTCATTGAGATTGAAGTGTTTTGAAATTCTCGTAAAATGCAGCCCTCGTGATGACAAAAAAATTTAGTCTTGAACGAGCTTGAAATGTTCATTAGTTTTTGCAAAAAGTCATTTGTTCAGTAAAAACTTGTCTGCGAAAAACTTAATTTCTTCATCTTTGAGCAATCGCAAAGCAATTTGCAAGAGTGATTTTTTTTCTTCAAGAGTTGCACTATCACGTACACTTAGTAACAAAACTTTTTTGCAATTAAATTATTTTAAAACAATTTTAAAAAGTGGGTATCTTTTTCTCGTATAAAAAAATGGAATAATTCTGTTAATATGCATCACATTATATAGCAACGTGAAGCATTCGACAGTTGACATTTTTCTATGAATTTAAAAATAAAAGCGAGAAACAAAAAAGTAAAAAAATTATTACAGCAATTTGTAACAACTTTAATAAAATTTAATGCATTGGAATAAAATACTATTTTAAAAAATACTATTTTAAAAGTAATATACTTCTGTGTATATTATTTTTGTAAACGTAGATATGCACAAATTTTGTTAATAAAATAAAGAATTTTTTATGTTATTTTAATAATCCCGTTTAAAATGTGTTTACCTTTATTAATATTTCAATAATTTCTTATTTTCCAACATTTTTATTCAATTAATATATTCCACAATCTGCGTAAACCAAATATTTAAATTTGTTCATATATTTGCATCTTTTGCAGCATTCAAATGTTTTCTAGCAATGTTGCCAGATTTATCTGTAATATCCCAGTAAACAATAAGTCGTCTTAAATGCCTTTAATGCCTTTAAAACTTAATATTCTCTCGCATGTCCGTCTTTAAGACGTCTTATTTCTGTCTTTTAGTAGCCTTATTATACATGTCTGTCAAACGTTATAAAACATATTTTGGACATTTTGCTGGCTGTTTTTTAGACAGTTCCTGTAATGTCTATAAGACGTCTTTGAGACTACAGTGTATATCCAGTGTATAATGTCATTCTTTAGACGTCTTTCAGACTACTTTTGGACATAATGATTTTTATAGGTTTCGATATACACTGACAGCACTGAAAATCTATAATATATACATAACGTAAATTATAGATTTCCGAAAATCTATAGTTCACATTACGAATACTATAAATTTTCAGTACTGACAATGTATATCAGAACATGGCCATTGTTCATTTTATTTTTATAAGATATTGTACACATATTTCACTAAGTTAAACATTTTTTATTAATATTTTTTTTATTTTTATATACAATTGTATTATATCCATACATGAATATCATAATATCTATGTATAGCAAGGTAAAAATATTCGGAGGAGAAATAAGTACGTTAATATTAAAGTTTTTTTTCAATTTGCCAGACCTGAAAATCTTCTTCTCAAATGTTAACCATAAAACAAAAATCGAGTTGTTAAGCAAAAAGAATATGAATAATTGGAGCATTAAAGAATCCATCTTTGTTAATCGATTTTATCGATTTTATAGTAACGATGAAGTAATATCAACTACACACATTTATTATTCACATATATATGCTCTTCGGCCTGATGAAGTGATCTGCAAAATCCACAAAACATTGGCATTATAGCATATGATGATAATCCTCCGCCTTTGGCTAATTCGAAGAAAATATCAAAAACAAAAGTTTTAAAAATATTACATATCAATATAAAAACCAAGTATAAATATTAACTTATAACTTATGATCTTGACTGCGCTGCGTTTTGTACTGCATTAATATCTGCATTTACATTTTGTATTGCATTTTTATTTTACACTACCTGTTTTTTGTTAATATAAATAATGCGATCTCCTGCGCGTCGCAACCATTCTTGAATAATTTTACAAACCGCCTGTAGGGTACATTGGTCCGTAGTCGATACATTATCTGAAAGAATTACAGAATAACTTTTATTATTATTTTGCATTTTAATAATATAGGTTGTTGCAAAAATATATTTTATATAATAAATAAGATCTTATTTTTAACAGAATCGTAGGGCTTGTAACTTGTTCTCGTAAAAATTTACAAGTGTTTATAATTTTATGCAATATCTTTATAAATAACTTATTGTTAAGATTTACGAAAAATGATAGATTCGAATTTACAATTACTGTATGTTTAAAGACACAATGCGAGGGAATAGTGATAGCGATAGAAGTAACACGATTTCAATCTACCAGAAACTGTGTATTTCGGTGTATCCGATTTTCTGAATAGGATGAAACCATGTTATTCTTATCGCTATTTCCCTCGCATTGTGTCTTGGACCTTACATAAACTTACAGAGTAATGTATATACAGAGTAATACATACACTCGATAAGTTCTTATGAGAACAAGTGATGATTCTTCTTAGAGAGTTGATCTAGAAATTTCTGTACATAAATATAATGAAAAAATTAAATAACGTATAGAGCTAAAACAATTCTTATATAATTAAAAAAATTATGTAAATTTTTTCTACAATCCAAATGAAAACTAATATCTATTTCTACCAATATGCATTAATTTTCATTTAAGATTTTTCTTACTTTTATAATAATTTTATAATAATTAGAGAAAGACAAAGATTAACACTAAGATCTGATTGCATCAATGTTACTTTGATTTCAAACGCAATTTAAAAATGTATCTATCTCTTTTTAGAATCGAGAAAGAAACAAAGAGACAGATAGAGAGAAAGACAAACTTCTAAGCCTTGCTTGAAATCAAAATAACGTTGATGCAATTAAGCCTAAGTGTGTCTTAATCTGCATTGATAGAAATGAATACATAGTGCGACAAATAATTTTTAAGACTTGCGCCATATCTCAGCAATTAATGGCACTATCTGTTGAATATTAGCATCATTAGAAAGATATATTTTTTTTCTTTCAAACGCATCCAAATTCATGTAAATCGGATAACAAATGACAAAGTTATGACAGTTCTTTCTAAACAAATTTTAAATCGATGTTGAAATTTTATCATAGAAACAAAGAGCGGTCATTAAATTCAACGCAAAACTTGATAAAAGTACATCAAAAATATTCCAGTTGATGCAGCAAGTGTATGGTGACGCTTGTTTAAGTCAAATGTTTTCCTGCATAAATAATTTTCGGATGGTAGAGAGTCACTCATTATATTCGCTCATTACATTCGCTCAATGCTCATTACATTCTTCGATAGCAAAGGAATTATCCATAAAGAATTCGTTCCATCTGATTAAACAGTTACTGGCAACTATTATCTCGAAGTTTTGAAGCATTTGATGACCAGAATCCGTATTCGTTCTGAATATCGATATCCAGAAAGTTGATCGCTGTTGCACGTGGTATCTCGCAATTCACTCATTGTTCATCAATTTTTGGTCTAAAATCATGTATACTCAATCATTCGCCTCATATTCACTTAATTTGATTCCATGCGACTTCTCTTTATTCCCAAAATTGAAATTAAAGTTGAAAGGATGCTTTTTCGACATTCCGATCATCCAAACAGTTTCAACACGGGCACTAGACAATACCACAAAATGAGCTGGATCATGCATTTGAATCACTTTTGAATCGCTGTAACAAGTGTATTGAAGCAAGAAGAGATTATTTTGAATAAATAAAACAATAAACATAAAAATATTTTGTTTCTATAGTGTTTTATAGACCCAGTCTTAAAAATTATCTATCGCACTGTGTATTAAATATATTTCATATTTCAATAACAACCTTAGCATGCATTGTAAAGTAGACTATTAAACTTTCTTAAAACTTTTGAAATTCACTTTAGTAAGAATCAATATTATGCTAACAGTTACAGAAAAAATGCAGTCACACTATGTGATATTTGCAAAAAAAATCGAAAGTACCTGCTATAATACTGGAAAATTCACAATCTTTAATAGATATTGATCCTTTTTGTCTAGTCCATGATAATTTCTTGCATAGCAAAGCATCATCCAAAAGAGCTTTTAAAATATTCCATGTTTTACCGCCAATTATTGTAATCTAGTTCCTCTGTAAAATAAAATATGAAATTGTATATTTACTATCAAAACATATTTAATTAATAAATGTTGAATGTATTCTATACCATCATTCCGATGCACAATTAATTATTCGTTAAAAAGACACAAATTATGCAGATATATAGCAAAATACTTACAAACTGTTTTCTAATCTTTCTATCAGATTGAAGTTTTTGTTCAAATTTTAGGAAGTTATTCGTGCTTGTTAAAGGAAACTGAGATAATCCCTTTTCATTTTGAGTTGCATCTAGCTTGTGTATTGAGATTTTGCACTAAATTTATTAGTAAATGTAGCTTTTTCCTATGTTTAATTAACTTTTGTAATGATTTTTTGTGTATTATGATGTATCTATATAAAATAAAAAATAAGATTATTAAAGAGAAGTATAAATTAAAATACAACTCTCAAGTATAAAATGTAGCAATCAATAAGTAAAGGTAAGTACGTAGTTAATGATGTGCAAATTATTTAAAAACAAAATCTTTAATTAAGCTTTAATAGAATCAATAGTAACCGCGATAATAAATGGCTCAAAAAAGACAGCATTTACATATTTATATGCTGTATTTATATGCTCAAAATAGAGCTAAAACATTCCTTATCACAATGCCATTCATAGTTACGAGGTTTAATTAAATACATTTTGTTTTAATTTATGCACCATTAATTTGATTCTTATGTCTTTGTCTGTATTTATTTATAATTTTTAATTCATGATTTTTATAATTAATAAATAAATGTCAATATTAATGTGGATTTGACATAAGAGAAAGTCAAAAGAATATGCAAAAATTATGCAGTTTAAATTAAAATATAAAATAAAAATAAGAAAAAAAATAGTAATAAACACTTTATCACAGCATGTGTCATGATTGCCATCTTGTATATTTGTTGTAATGCTACAGACTTTTTAAATATCTAAAAAATAATGGAAGAGAAAGATAAAATTTAATATTCACATAATTTGCATAAATAATATTTGCATAAAATAACGAAAAAATATTCTTTTTTTTCGTACTTTGTATTACTATAGATTGCTCTGGTCCATCATCCAAGCCATCAAATTCTTATTCACTTGAGTCTTCATTTTTCTTTTGATAATCTTCCAGAAGGGACACAACTAATATATCATGCACACATGTTCTTCTATTTTTTGTATATAAATAATTTATATAAATAGTTTTTTTTTGTATATAAATAGAATTATCACTCTCTTCTAATATTGAAAATGTCACTTTTCAGATCTTTAATTTTAAATTAATAAGGAAAAAGAATTTAAAATAAATCGCATTGATTTAGAAAACGAACATTATTTCATGTAATTAACATGAGATAGTAAAGAAAAGTATTCAGTCTTACTAATGCATTGTCATTTGTAATAAAATGTATGCGATCACTTTAATCCAAGTAAGTTACAACGGGCACCTTTATCTATATCAAATACTTTGCTAAATGTAGCAGCCTAGATGAAAAATATATAATATAATATAACATAAATATATAACATAATAAATATTCTGCAATATTAAATTAAAATGTAACAATTATATAGACTGTTAAATTGTAAACACATCAAAGAAAATCAATGCTAATGAGAATACAGCGCAATTATAGAGGCGCAAATTCTGATGTAAAAACTTTTATTATTTTACAAGAATAATATCAATATTTCAAATTGCATGTTTTGATTCGTTTGGAGTCCTCTTCAGGAATGAAATTACAGAGATTTCGAAGATTCAACAGTTCAAAATGAAATCACTCACAGATTGACAAAACTGAAGTGACATTTCAATAGACTAAGAAAAGTTTTCGATAAAATTATTAACTTTATAAATCCGCAAATTGTTGTGTTGAACAAATTTTTGTCGGTTAATCTCTCAATGTTTGATATATGTTCTTATAAAGTAATAAAAATTTTTACACCATAACTTGTGCTTCTCTAAACGACCTGTACTCTTATTAGTATGATTTTCTTTGTTTCTATCATTTTTTTACAATAAGCTATCAAACTTCTTATCAAATGCTGACAAACTTCAACAGTGATTGAAACAGTAATTGCTCCGTATATGTATAGACGATCTTCTGGGTAACACTCGTAAAATCATCGTTTTCAGTTTGCTTTATAATAGTCAACAATTCGAGTGTTATTATTTGTTTAATTAAAAGCTTGATGTATTTCTAAGCCTTTGGTTGTGCCGAAAGCATCTGAAGTGCTACAGTCGCTTCGATTTTAACAGGCAAATCTTGATTTGTCAGGAGGGCATTTGTAATTAATCTGACTGCCTCGATTAAAATTTGTTTCGACTTAATTTCTGAGAAATAATGCACCCCAGCAGGCCTAAAAACAGATTAACACTTGTTGTCACTGCAATATTTTTTTCATTTTATCATTATATATGTAATACTTGCGTAAGTGCATAGAAAATTTTCAATATATTATTTAATTATATTTCAATAATTATATTTCAATATATTTTCTGAAGTAGAATTATTCAGATGAATTTGGCAATAAGCATGATATCAAATTGATAGATCATAAGGAGTAACATGCTTCATTTAATGGTCCCCTCTCTTCTGCTTTCTTATATCTATAAATATAAATAATTGTTAATTAAAATTAATCAGAGTTATTCTAATGGCTTTAACCATTTTTATTTATGACTTACAGCTTACTTAAGTATAATCTAAAATGCGTAATAATAATTATAACAGAATTCTTATAACAGGAAATTTAAACTCGTAATTATAACAGGGGGTGCGTTTCGAGTCACGCATGAAACATATAGATTGCATAGAAAGTCGATTTCGATTTAACTAATGCGCGCATTAGAAGCGCTTTGGTAGTGCCGAGAATTCCCTAGGTTGTACTATCCGTACTATATTCTTAGCACTCCTCCCAGCGCATTGACTGCTTCTATTTCGACTTGAGGCAGTTGATACGTCTGATGCGGTCTTTGCGCATGATTTGTAATTCGGAATGAGTAACGGACAACACAACAGTGAACGGATGAATGTTTGCAATTTGCAATAGAACAGCGATTACAGCAATTGCATAAATTCCTAATCTTGTTAGAGGATAAAAATGAAATATTAACTTTACTTTTAAATGAAGAAGATATGAAGAGACATGCCAAGGTAAAATTAATGATTATTTTACTTTGATTTATTTAATGTATAAGTTAGTTAAGTTTAATGTATAAGTTATATTAATTTTGTGTCGTATTTTTTATAGTACATTTTTACTAAATCTTATTGCAAAAGAATAAAATAAAAACAGTAATAACGAGTCAGTAAAACTTATTGATTTAACATATGATGAAAATGCTATTGATCGAAACAATGGTAAAATGCACACTTAATTTTCGTATAAATATTCATACGTCTATTAAATTCTTTAATTTTATATAAAAGTAAAAATATATAAAATAAATTTAAAAATATATAAAAATTAATATTTATCGATTTCTAAAATTTATGTTTGCTTAATTTTCAGATCAATCAAAAACATTTGATTTGAATGGCTGGATCAAGCAGTATTATTATTAATCGAATTATATAGAGAAAGAGAGGAAGAATTTTCAAATAGTTGGTTTTAAGTGCAGCAAAATTTGGGCTGAAATTGTAGTTCAAATGAGGGAAATTAACTCAACTTATAACAGCATTTCAGTGTTCGTCCAAAATGTCCGGCTTAAAGCGAGCATACAAAAATATTATTGATTTAAATAAGAAAAGTGGCAATCATAAAAATATGTGGGCATTTTTTCTATATGTTTATCACAGACGTACACATGACACACACTTAGTCAGAAATGATAATGAAATCGACATCGAATCGACGATTCGATATCGATTTGATGCTTTCGACGTCGATTCGATTATTCATTATCATTTCTGACTGGACATACATACATACATATATTATATGTATAAATGTACTGGAGTTAGCATAGGAGCCGGCACGTACACATTCCTCATGAAAAAGTAAAATGTTAATAGTAAAATCTTAAGGTTAGTAAAATCAATAGTTTTCAAATGGTGATCATTTGAAAATAATTATAGAGCATGAAATTCGCGCGGTCGGTCGTTCCTGATTGACTGACATATCGCTCAATAGCACAGTACCAAACGAGTATTGCAAAGTTTTGTGAAATTTCTATATTAACTACCATATTCTTAAATTGAATCTGATTTAATTGATGAGAAGTAATGTCAATTGCAAATTCGATAAATAAATAAATTTATAAATAAAATCAATATTAATTAAATGATTCAAACAACGTTAAAAACATCAATGACAGATATTTGCAAAACTTCTTTTCTGTCATAAGTAATATTAGAAAAAAAAATTTACATTTGAAATACGCATTTGATATAAATAAATATTTCATATTTAGAAACGAACGAAATTTCGAATTATGATAGGAGAGAGAGAAATAATATAGTGAAGAAATCGAAATAGTAATAAGTTGTAAAAACATGAGGAATCTGTATGTGCCGGCCTCTGCGCTAACTCTGGTACACCCTATATAAATGTTGCGATATTCACAGTTATGCAATAAGAGAGAGGATCCTATTAGCGCACATACTAAGAGCATAAATCCACTTACATTAGTCAGTGCTTAATAATGTTTCACTGCTATATCAATAAGAATATTTTATTTTAAATTGATCAATTAACGGTGTGCACTATCGGAATCCTCTTCAAGATATATTTTTATATTACAACATTTAATTATCCCTATTATGTATTAGATCATGGATTCATTATTTGGCCACAAAGTGTCCATCAAATCTCTTGCAATTGCTACAAGCGAAGGTCCATCAGACCACCCAAATGAGGAAAGATCATTGTTATCTATTTCATCCCTTGAATCAAAAGGTAAGTTTTGTATTTGTACATTAATAAATTACAACAATTCTAAATAATATTTAGTTGTAATCTTATGTGTAATCTTATAAAATCCCTAACGAATTAAAAAGCAAAGTTGAATGTAAGGCGAGAATAACAAAAACGTTAACAAAGCTTCTAGGAGGTAAAAATTGGAACGAATAAAAAATTGGAAAAATCTTAAACGCCTCTTACATTTTGTTCCAATTTTTGCCTAGTTTTGTTTATGCTTTTGTTACTTTCCCTTTACATTCGACTTACGCTCCGATTTTTATTTTCGCTAGATGTGCTGTCATTATGGCTATGAGATGATT